TCCCCCACCCTCCACCACACACCTGTAGAAACTGTGGAGGAAGGAGCTCTCGAGCCCCGCTTGTAATTTCTTCACAATGTTAAATTTTCAGCTGTGTGTCWGTTCTTTACTAATAAAGTTATACTAGTCAGCTTTTCCCAGAAGAAGAAAAAAACATGTGCTTCTTTCCACTATCTCTAATAAACAACATGACATGTTTTATCTGTCAATTTGCAGACAAGATAAACCATAAAATTATATTTTCCTCATAAAGAACATATAAGCTTGGATCGATGAGGACTACAAGTCATAAAAAACAAGCAGATGATCTAAAGTTTTTCTGTTCTGAAGTTGATAAACTTGTTAAAAGATCAATGAATAATCCTCCTAACATTATCATGATTTATAATCAGATATAACAGAGTGGTTGTTTTTTGTTAGAAACACAGAAGGAAGCTTAAGTGACACTTCAAGGATTAAACAAATTCCTTAAAACATATCTATATTACAACTAAACAAAATATYGGATTATAATTTGTAATTTAACAATGGATTGTCTGAGTTTATTCTTTATAAACAAACATTCTTACCACTAGTCAACAACAACAACAAAAGGTTGTGTGACATTATTTGTCCTTTTCCTTTACTAATTCCCTCAGCTGATGTATTCGAAGCATCCATCTTTGAGAAGTGCAGCTATGATTCAGTGTAATTATGCTCCCATTATTACTTTGTCATTCTGCAAAAAGGCAAAGTGCTGGGGCAAATTATCACTCATAGTTAAAACAATTTTCTGAAAGATTTGTATGCAAGCAGTGCTGATCAGGATTTTGTTCTAATGGATTGGTTATGTTTTTTTTTTCTTTTCTTTTTCATTCAAGGATTAACATGAACTCTAATGTTTCATCTGAATGAACCCTTTGGCACGACTTCAAGTTTGAATGTCTTTGAATTCAGCTTCTCAAAATCGTTTTATCTTCAAAGAGCCTTTTTTTTAATAAAACACCACGAAGGCCATTTGCATGACTGCAAGCAATATGTTAAAACTCCTCGTCTGGACAAACACAAGCGTTGTGGCATTGTGCATATTAATTTTTGCATATGATGATCGAGTCGACTAAATCAGTTAAAGAACTGCCAAAAGGTTATATTTTCAAAAGCCAAATAATCTAAAATTTATTTGTGTGATTCTGATTTGAGCTTTTAAATAAGCATTCAGCAGAAAATCCATCCCAACGAGTTTAACATCTTGTTTCTTCCACTGAATATGTGAGCTTTGTTGACATGAATATTTGTCACTGAACAAAGTTCAACAACAACAACAACAACAACAACAACAACAACAACAACAACAACAACATACTTTACATGTGAATAATTACTTTGAATTGAGTGTATGTTGTATAATTTTAGTTGTATCAAAACACATCTTGCATCAGTGGTTGTAATTTGTACAGTTCAGTCTAATTTTAGACTCTATTGTCTGAATAAAAACAATGTTCTTCAGTTGGGCTTTGAAACATGAGTTTCAGAATGAAAACATAAAGAGTCTGACCTAATTCAGAAGACATTATGTTCACCATGAAGCTTCACTGCCTGCATGCTTCTTGCAGAGCAGTTTGGAGGTGGTGTTTTGTCAATTCAGAGTGCATTTACTGCCATCATGTGGATTTAGTTCAAAATGTCCATCCTGGTTCTGTTTGACCAGATTTAGGAGTTTCTTTGCTAAATGATGCTCACAAGTTTTGCTTTACACCAACACTTTGTAATAAGATGCATTCTGAAAATGAATTAAAAAGAGTTAAATAGGCTGATGCATAAGGAAGTAAAATGCCATAAACATTTCCCTTGTTTCATTATAACATTTTAGAAGCAATTTAAGTTTTACCATTTTTGAAGAGAGGCTCAAACCAAGCAAAACGTAGCAAAATGAAAACAAAGTAGCAGAAAGCTAGTTAAAATTAAAAACTAAGCTACAAATTAGCAAGGAATAACTAAAAGCTAAAATTTGCCTAAATTTATCTTAAACTAAATGTATCAAAAGGGTAGCTAGTCTCTGATCATTTCATTGATTTTAAGACTTTGCTACTTTGCTAGAATGTAAAATGCATTTTACTTATATCAGAGAAGAAGACAATTTAGTTTCTGCTTACACAAATCTTTACTGAAGTCGTGCAGTGATCGGCATTCACGTTATGTTAGCAGAAAAKGCTTTTTTCTAGTTATTATATTGTTGTTATAAGCAGTATAGTAGTAGTCTTGTTTAAATTTATGACTTGGTGTAAAAATGCACGTCTCTTCGACAAAAGGTTTAAAATGCTTTTTGAGCCTCTCGGCACTCCGTACTCGTACGACGCACTAGTGACGTTTTACGGCAGGTTTCTTCAGTACTCTCTTCTTAACGAGCATTGCTAGGACGATAATATTATGTCTCACAGCGTCAGATAATCACCATTGAAGTGAGGTCCCGCTATAAATCCAGTATTTTTATTCACACATCCGCAGTTTGGACAAAAATGACCGATTTGACAGATTCTCTGGTGAAAGAGGGCTGGTAGGTAGCATGCTTGCTAGCTTAATCTTAACTCTATTAGCTTAGGTGTTGAATAAAAGCAATGTTTGCATCTTGAAGTTTTGGAAGTAAACCACATCATCAGTTAGGACACCCTAACCCTACTTGTGGCAACGTAATTGTGTTTCTAAAAGCTAAACTTAAACCGTTTACTCGTGAGWCCTGTCTGCTAGCTAAGCTAACTTTGGCTTCAACAAACGCTGGGTTTTTTTTTTTTTCGCGTCAAACATGTTTACAGCACGCGGGATCGATAGTAATTTGAGCCAAACTGTTTTAAAAATAAAACTATGTGATTTCCTAAATCTGTACTTTGAAGGACCTAAGCGTTTTACAACACAGATGAGATGATGACCAAAGTGCTGTACACAGAAAAAAATGTGTAAATAAAAGAATACAAGCAAAGCATAAAAGTACAGTAAAATACAAAACMGGCTAAAAATGTCACTTGTCTTGTATGTATTCTTACTGTACTTTTTACACATTTTTGAAGGTTGTTAATGTAAAATAACCACATCTATATCATATATGATGCTCCTCAGTTTGATWACAGGTTTACAATTTACAGTATTATGAAAATAAAGTGCAATGATTATTTTAACA